TTCTTCATAGTGATTTTCTGTGCATATATGTTTCATAAAAGCTTTTAAAGATATGAAATAATCTAAATAATGAGTTTACAATCAACATTCAAAGATTAAAGTTAAATCAGCTTGGCGAAAACTGAACGTTGGTTTACCGTATATTGCTCCGGTATGGGGTGAGGTAAACTATATTGCGCATTCATTATGTCCAACACACACTCCATGATAATGAAAACCTCGAAATAAACAAACTGTGAAAGAATTTGCCCAAATAATTCTACAATATTGCAGGAACCTCATTAGAATGGTCTGACAAAGCAACGTGGACAAATTGCGATGATGATGATTTTCAATTTCAAGTCGAGATCTATGTACGATATTGTTCGTTTCTCCATTAATTGCCGTGGTTTGTCTGAACGCCATCGCTGACTAACGTAATGAGCCGTGCAACCCTTTAACCAGCTAATCAAATTTGGAGGGTCTATCACGACACCCACCCGCCTCAGTAGTGATATCATCACGACTTTTGTTATAAACAGCATGAGGTCCTGAGTTTTCTCATTAAAAACCTAGAACTACGGACAGTTATACAAATCGAAAAAGTTCAAAACATGTACATGGCCACATCAGTGGTCAATGGACATTAGTATGGGAGGAAAAAACCAAAACATGCATACAAAAAAGTTGTCAAACAGTTTTTCTAAATTTAAATGAATATATTCAATAGCAAATTTTAAAGCAGGTGTTATTTAAAAAAGAAAATTCAATTTAACAATACTGCATGGATGGAGCATGCATAACCAGAGATATCAAATAACGCAAAAGTGGTAATGATATCAAAGAATAATCCAGGAATGATATACAGTATCTTTTAGAGAGAAATGACCTTGAATCATTCGGACTACATTGTTTTCCATAATTTGTAATATCTTTCCACAAGATCCTCATGTTATATTTTTGGTATAGTGGAATACAGATATGAATTTATGATATAGTGGAATACATATATGAATTTATGATATAGTGGAATACATATATGAATTTATGATATAGTGGAATACAGATATGAATTTATGGTATAGTGGAATATGGATATGAATTTATGGTAAAGTGGAATACAGATATGATTTTATGATATAGTGGAATACAGATATGAATTTATGAGAAATAGTGGAATACAGATATGAATTTATGATATAGTGGAATACAGATATGAATTTATGATATAGTGGAATATGGATATGAATTTATGATATAGTGGAATACAGATATGAATTTATGGTATGGCGGAATATGGATATGAATTTATGATATAGTGGAATACAGATATGAATTTATGGTATAGTGGAATACAGATATGAATTTATGATTTAGTGGAATACAGATATGAATTTATGATATAGTGGAATACAGATATGAATTTATGGTATAGTGGAATATGGATATGAATTTATGGTATAGTGGAATACAGATATGATTTTATGATATAGTGGAATACAGATATGAATTTATGGTATAGTGGAATATAGATATGAATTTATGATATAGTGGAATACAGATATGAATTTATGGTATGGTGGAATACAGATATGAATTTATGATATAGTGGAATACAGATATGAATTTATGTTATAGTGGAATACAGATATGAATTTATGGTATAGTGGAATTTGGATATGAATTTATGATATAGTGGAATACAGATATGAATTTATGGAATACAGATATGAATTTATGATATAGTGGAATACAGATATGAATTTATGGTGTAGTGGAATATGGATATGAATTTATGGTATGGTGGAATATGGATATGAATTTATGATATAGTGGAATACAGATATGAATTTATGATATAGTGGAATACAGATATGAATTTATGGTATTGTGGAATACAGATATGAATTTATGGTATAGTGGAATATGGATATGAATTTATGGTATAGTGGAATGTGGATATGAATTTGTGGTATAGTGGAATATGGATATGAATTTTATTTTTTCCCCTCAAGTGTCATGGGACTTGTTCAAATAACTTTTGCTTACATATGATTAAAATACATTCTAGTCATACCCCATATTAACTAGTATTTATTTCCGGCATTGGCCTGATGCACCAGTGCGAGACATTGATGCAATTTGGACAGACATATGGACAACCGGATAAGATGCCCCTTATCTGCCCAACATTCAGGCAACCAAAACAGATTGCAGCAACAGCAAAATATCCAATTACAATGAATCGAAATGTACATTTTAATGTACTCGTAATCAAGTAAAATGGGTCTGTTTCTCAATATGGAGATCGAGCAGTTATGCACTTTATTTAAAGAAATTATCTGACGCTATAATCTTGTATTATTATTAAATTTATTTATTATTTTTTGAGTTTACCAATTTCTTTTCTGATTTCTGAGTATTTTAGGTTATGCACCCATAACGAAATATAACAACATGCATATTAATAAATATTTGCTCCATACCTATCTAAATTAACCTAGTTGTTAACAATCCAAACTCTAAATCATAATTACTCCAAGAATATTGGTTTTAAGATTTTTGAAAATTACGACCTTTTTTTAATCTTGAAATGAACTTAAGCATTTGATATTTTTTTTATGAGAATTGAAGGATCCCAGCACAAGCGTGTTCCCTGCTATTTTATGGAGTGGTTAAGTGATGTCTTGACTGATACGCTTTGTTAGTGGTGTTTCTGGTTTTTAATATTCTTTTCAATCCATTAAAGGCTTATTTGACACCAAACCTTGATGCCTTATCAAATAAATACTTTTAAAATGTGTTTTTCACTAAAACAGATAAAAATCCCAGCGTCAGTTATTATAATATATCACTTGAAAATCGCTTTTGCTGAAAATCATTGGAAAAATTAAACAAGATCAAATGAAAATCTCCAAAACAATATCCTGTCATTTTCTTTTAATTTTTCATATCATGCAAATAACAATAATTATGAGATATATATGTATACATTTCTCAAGTGCATTTAATTACGCAATATATTGTATCACGGGAAGATTTTGAGTTGAAATATCAATGAAAATTTAAAAACAACTTCTTACATTTTGCAATTTTTTTTTAAATTCATTGTGGCCAAATTTTGGAGGTGCAGTATACATACAATCTCAGTTTTTAACAGGTCCAAGAGATCTCATGATTGATTGATTTTTATTTAAGCATAAGAATAATAAAACACATTAACACAATCTACTCATAAACAGCGAAAATACCACCTACACTTCTAACATATGGACAAACTCATGATAATTAAAACACATTGATAAATACAAACAAAACAAATGTTTGCCAGGACGCTTCATTTCCTGCACGGGTTCAACTGTGTGTCAATTAAGTGATCTCATTAAGTGAAACGTTTGTCTGAAAAACTGGAAAAAGAGAGGTTCGTTCGATATAAACAAATCAAACAACGCGTGAATAACATCTTGTCATGGGAGGTGTGTTCAGATGAGTGACTACTGTGAATTACTTATACATGTAGATACTGACCTCAAGACCATAAACTGAGAACAGACTTATGTTAAAATTTCAAATCAATATAACTGCGAATAATTTTGATAATGAAACAAAATTTTCATGGTATGCTTGAACTTGAATATACATGTAATACAAGACTGCAAATTTTTAAGCACATATGTTAAATAAAACTCTCGATATTCAACATCCAAAATCAAAATTTTGAGTTAAGTCTATTCTCAGTTTATGGTCTTGAGGCCTGGCCCCAGGATCTTGAAAGATCTTAAGTTTAAGTCAAAATCTTTATGTTATTCTAAAATGTTGTAGAAGTCAAGCAGGCCAAAATTAAACTATTTTACAATATTGCTTTACAAAAGTGTTGTTATCTGCAAAATTAGAGATTAATTCAATAAATAATAAACATTTTACAGGCGATTGAAAATTTGACAAAGTCTGTTTCATGATCCTGGGGCCTGGTCTAACTCTGTACAATGTCGGGATAAGTAATATACTACATCCAATAAAATAATTTTATTAACGAGATAAAATATGTATACTGAATCATTAACTACTTGCAAAATAATTCAGTTTGGAATAGGGGCCTAATGAACAAAATAAACTGGAAACATTCAGTCAAGTTTACTCAATATATAAATTCCCATATAAGTAGAAACTGGAAATTTCTTTGATTTTTGACAGAACTTTAATAGAGTACACTACAAATTTGTAGAAAAACAAAATAAAAGGAAATGGACGAAATCACTGTCTGTGCTAAGATGAATACTACCCGCATGTGAAATATTCTGATGAGGCTAAGGGGTCCTCTCGTCTAGCGACTTTGTCTGTAAAATTGATGGGTATCTTTTTCGCCTTTTTGTTAGCCCGTCTTTTGTTATCAATCTGGTTTCATTTGCTCCGCATCGCTGCGCAAAACTGTTTTACTTTTAAGAAGTTTTCTGAAACGGTACACTACTTGCATTTCAATTGATGATTTTGAATATGCAAAGTCGCTTCATTGTCCCAGCTAATCTTATGCAGAGTTGATGCAATATAACTGACAGATAGACGTAAGCGTGGAGAAAAACGCTTGCAAAGCCTTTATACATGCAGTAATAAATGCATTGCAAATGTTTTTGAATGAAAAGAAACAAAGTTTACATAACAAAGATTTTGTGTCTAAAATTGTCAATGTTTTTGAAAAATTTAAATAAGTTGCAATTTACTTCACGCGTATTGCCGAGGAATAATTCACGCGACAGAGGGCCGATTTTGGCAACTCGACTATTTGACGAACCCAGTGAAGTGTTAAGAGCACGCGACGGGCCCGCGACGCGGATACGGCGAGCGATAAAGCCGTATGGAGGTGTGGCTTCACCTATACTATTGTCAATACCTGTATAAAAGAAACTGTCCCGTCGGACACCCATATCAAAACTTTGACATCTCACCTATCGAAAATACTATACCTGAGCGATCTTGTCAAAACTGAAACTTTCACAAGACAAGTTTTCGACCACTATCTGAACTGTCCAAGAGTTATGGAATACCAAGTATCCGATTTCCAGCCCATCAATGCTCAAATGTTGTACCAGAATTTTGTTAACGAACCCCCGGCTTGCATGTTCTCTATATCGCCCGAATCTTCCCCAGAGGCTGGAACAACTCACATGTATGACAACAAGGAAAATGCTCGCGGGATGATGTGCAAGAGACGTCTGGATTTCGGCCCTCAGCAGACTGATTACCTGGGGCTGCACAAACCACCAACTGTTGCTGTGGCGAGACGCAACGAGCGAGAGAGGAACCGCGTCAAACTCATCAACATGACTTTTGCAACTCTCCGAGAACACATACCAGCGGGAGCGAAGTGTGGCAAAGGCAAGAAACTCAGCAAGGTAGATACCTTGAAAGCCGCCATTGATTACATCCGGTATCTGCAGACACTGGTTGACGAACACGATGCTGTAAACGCAGTCCTTGATAACAACTGCCTCCCAAAGTCATCGCCCGGGACCGTGCCCCCTCCGTCCCCCACTGCCAGTTCCCCAAATCCCAGTGTTTGTTCCGAGACGTCCCACGAGAACCTGAGCCTCAGTACAGAGGAAGAGGAACTGCTAGACTTCACGAACTGGTTCTAAGACCACTTGATCGGTAAGCTTCTCACAGAAATTCTTAAACTGTATCCAATGCAAATATGTCATTTTTCTATCATTTCCATCAGCACTACTTAAAGAAATTTAAGTATATCGACGATAAAGTTAAAAGTGACGGTTTTTAAGATAATAGATAAGTTACAAAAGTTTAATGATTGAAATAAAATGCCATTGAAGTATTACGGTTGACACCTCAATGAAGTGTCATAAATATTTTTATTGATTTCGAGGTGATACTTTATGATGTGTAGTTGTGAATCATTAAGGGATAAGCACTGATCTTGGTTTGCAGGGTAAACTTTCGGTACTGAGGTATTGTTGACTTTATTGATAAAGAAGTGCCACTGAATGTCACAATACAGATACACCCCTATCTTCTACTGGCGCTTCACAGTCGATAATTTCTACCTTAATCTCACTTACGTTACAATAATTATCGGAATTGCTATCCAAAAGATTATTCATCAATGCAAAATTGATTAGTACGGAACATGCTGCATGATTCCCAAAATACTTCGTTGGCAAAGAAAGTTAAATTCATTTTCTGAGTGTAATACACTTTCTTGTTGGTTCAACATCGACATAACTCTACTTTTTTGTGAGTCTCATAAAATTTAGCGAGAGATCATCGACCCATCTATTGATCATAGTAACTAAATAAATGCAAGGCTCATCTTCCAAGTTGTCTTTTATGTAAAGTAATAAGATTTGCTAATTACATTCTGTTTATTTTACCCTTTGCAAACAGCGCCAGGCGTGTTATTTTATTGTCATTAAACATTTATTATTTTTTATTCAAACAGAAAAGAGGCTTAAAATCAACATTCCATGATTGGATAAAAAAACGAAAGGTGCACGCGCTTGGCGTTACGTTCCCTGCCAACGTAGCCCCGCCCTCAAGATACGCCCTAGCGACAACGCCAGGTGCAAAGGAGGTGTTACCTATGATTGACAGGTGGCTGAATAGCACAACACGAGCTCTTGGACTACACGCGAGTGATCGGGAACAAATAAGTCTTTCAAACGCGGAAAAAAGATACTGCTTTTCTTCAAGATGACGAATGACGGTGACAAAAATATGCAAATGAGAGAAAGATGAAAAAACTTGAATTTTTAATTTTGTTTTATTGATATATTGAGAAGAATTATTTTTATACAGTCAAATTTGAATCAGATTATTGCTTATTGAATATATATTTATAAAGTTATACACGCAATTATACAAGTGCTAATAATATTAATTTTGTATATTTTTAATGTAAGAAATATATAGAATTCTATTTTAGATATTTGATTCATTTATAATTAATTTTAAAAAGAATAAACTTACTATCGATATTCCATGACTTGTTATTTATTGGAAACATGTAAAACTCCTGGCTAATTTAAAACTTTCGGATGGGAAGTGCATGCATGGTGGCGTTTAGTAGAGCTTTCATTGATCATAAGGCATACAGGTATAGGCGCACCTTGTTGCCCTTTAGTGAAGAGATGCATCAGTATTGCTCAAGGAACGGTTTTGGGGTCGTATGTCATTTAAAAGATAAATTACGACTGTATGGCAGTTGTAAGAATTAGTTGGAATACATTTGAATAAGACATCTGGAATGCGGTCTAACTACATTGTAGGTATTCTGTCGTCGTTATGTAATGAAAATTGTCAATGATTTCAAAATATTTTAGTTTGGAAAACAAAATTTAATGTAATACATGCATATGAACATGTTTTGTTTGTTCTGGATCTCTTTTACTGAGTCGGCAAGGAAAGCTACAATTGTATTTAAGGATATCAACTTAAATTCAAAATCTTAAGGAAAATATGCATTTGAATAGATTGAGTTCATTTTGAAGCTTTGCAAATACAATAAGCGTAGAGTATATGAAACCTCTGGCGCCCCCTATGGGCGTTATCACTCAGTTATCGTGTTCATGTCCTCCGGTTTGGTGTTTATAGATATGATACGGGTATATTTGTATCTGGCCAGACTGTATGCTGATATGAAGAACTACGTCTAATTCTGTTGTCACGGAGAACCATACAGTCCTTAGAATCCCCAAACTTACACAAGCTAGATGATGTCTGTTTGAATAAAACATAACGTTCGCTTGTTTTCTGTAATGAATAGGGTCAGTACTAAAGTTGTGTGAAATGAATTGAATAAAAGATTAACGTGTTTAAAAAAATATTTCGCTTTATGCTGAAGGAAATGATAATTACACAATATTCTCTCGAGCTCAGAGGTTCATCTTATCTGAGATTTATATTCACAGCAGTATGTGTTATGACACTGACTTATAAATTCTTTTGTTTTAATGTTTGTTGATCACTGCAGATATTAAGTGACAAAGATTATTTTTAGTTAAAACGAATTGTCTCCCTTTTCATTACGAAAGCACTGCTCAACTACTAGACATGCTAGCAGATCAAAAAAAAAGTAGTGGATAGTCAAAATCCTTTAGCATTGTATACTCTTTTCTTTTACGGTAGTAGGTTTTCCAAAATTGCAAACTGTTTCAGAGGTTCAAAGAATAAAAAATATAAACATTAAATTATTATTTTTTAAAAAAAGATTTTGTCTCATTACTATGTACAGCGGTGTGTGCAAAACAAAACAAAAAAACAAAAAACAAAAACACACAAAAAACAACAACAACAACAACAAAAAAGGTAATCCGCACTACTACATCTTTCAAAAATAATAATTAATTCAATCTTAAATTCTTTGTTCACATTTTATGGTAGCTCTCTGTTTAATGCTTTCCCCCTGCATTCCATTGGTAATTATGAGAAAAATGTCAAACACGAGGAGATTGAGAAAGTTACTAATGTAAAAGGTAAAGATAACGAACAGTGATCGATCTCAAAAAAACTATAAACAATACAAATATGTGAAGAGGGTATAAAACACGGACCCCTGGAAATTCTAGAGGTGGGATCAGGTGTATAGGAGGAGTAAGCATCCCCTGTTGACCGGTCACACCCACCATGTGCCCTATGTATTGATCAGATAGACGGAACTATCTGTAGTCAATTCAGTACAAAATCAAAGGCCTAACAATTGGTATGAAACAAGTGATAGGTTATATTTGATAAGAAGGTCATTATATTATATATAACGACCATAAAATTTACGAAATGCTGACTTTAAACGAGGCTGTTGAAATCCCCGAAACATCAACTTATCAGTGAGTAGCCTGTGTCGCTTTAAAAAATTGATCGTACCCAGAGTAAACTATTGAGTAGCGAATAAGTTGGAAGACATAAATACCATAAGCAGGTGACAGTGGAATATTACTTTACATAGATAAGGAAAGTTGACGATGGAAAAGCTAAAGTCATCTCGTTTGTCTTACAATTTAGCTGTTAATTGGCCTTAATAAATGTATATGAAGGATATGAAGGAATGTCAAGTTCGATCGATGGCCAGTAAATAAAGTCGTATGCCATGAAATACTGTGGAATCATCATTGTTCGTGGGAGATCAATGTTCGTGGATTTCGTGGGTAACCCTTACCCACGAATTTACATCCCCACGAACAACTATTTTGTCAACGTACTGATTAATTAGATCTACCAAATAAACGAGCTGCCCACGAAATTACATCCCCACGAACCAATAAAATTTTGCTTGCCCACGAACATTGACCCCCACGAATTTAAATGATTTTACAGTAAGTGATTTGATAGTTATCTGTGGATGGTAGTCCAAAATGTTTGCATTTTGGTGTCTTTCCTCATATCTCCCCTCTCTTAAAAGTTTTGAATTATCACAATCCAGAGTCATTCAAAATGTCAAAACAAACATTGAAATCTTACAGTAAAGATTAAAATCGGAGTACTATTATATCTCTCTTGTTAAAAAATTCACTGAACAATACTTCTTTTGATAGTCGGAATTAAGATAGATGTTATCTTTTTTTTTCAGTCCATCAAGGATATGTACCTTCTTTTCAAATTCTCAAAGAAAGCATCCATTTCAGCTCCAGTCTCCCTTCTTTCTCGCATTTTTCTTTTAGCAGAATCTCTGATTTATTACATCTTTCAAAAATGTCTTCTCTGATTGGCTCACCTCTGAGTTATCAGTACTCTGATGTAATATGTGTCCAAATCCGGGTCTTTAGATAAGGGGAGATAACTGTATAGATCTTATTATCTGATGCTATCAAAATTAATTACCACGTCATTTTTCCGGGAGAATGACATGCACATAATGAAATAATCATGTCTCTAGCGTTCTATACCCCCTTTAAATACTTCTCTTGTCAATTCATATGGCTACGGCTCGAGAGATTGTTAACGAATGCAACGAAGCTGTTTTATTTGGCTAAAGTTATAAATCAAACATTTAGTATAATTGTTCCAGAAGCAATTATTTGTCATAATAGCAGTATTAAAAAAGTCGTTTTTAGAGATCCAAATTGTCTGCAACTCCCGTCCGATTGAGACAGAGTTCTGATTCCTACTTGAAGTCTACGGATTTTGAGTGTAGTCACACAATTTTACAAAATTGAAAGAACATCACAATTAATGTCGTATAATATGAACAAGGAAAAGTAAAAAGCTTTTTATTTTGAAATAAAAGCCTATGAAATGATATCATTCTTGTATTTCTCGCGTTGTTGAAAACAAATAAAAATGTTATTATGGAAACTTTAGTAGACACTTTTCAGATATAATGATGTTTTTATGTCGAATAAAGTCGTGGATATTATTTTCAGTAATTTTATTTCCAATTTACGAGAAAATGGATATATTTTCATGCTACGGAGTTGGATCGAGTCTCTTGTGAAGTAAACTTTAAAGAAATGAGTAAGCAATGTTTATTTCAAATTTGAAATAGAAGGTATATATCTCTGGTAAATTATTTCCAAAAATTGATCACAATACGAGAGATAACATTACGAAATGAAATTTACATGTTTACATGTAGGGAGAGGGCGTAATAAGTTTTCAGAACTTGTGCCCAATCCCATTGTATTTATTAAT